CTCCCCCCCAAAAAAAAAAAAAAAAACAATATGAACTAAATAGAAACCTATAAAATCTTAGGGATTAAATTGAATAAAGCCCAAATAATAGGAATGCTTGGTGGGTGTGTTAGTTATATAGGAGAAAGTAAAATAAAAGTGCTAGAATTCAAAAGAATTAAGGAATAGTTTCAATTGTTGCCTTGTTTGAAGAGTTCTTGGTGGAAGTTCTTTTAGTGGGAGTGTTAGAATTTTTGTCCTGGAATTCTAGGGGGTTGTGGAATTATTCCAACAAGAATCGGTTTGAAGAATTTTCTGTTTTACCGTTGTCCTAATGTTGAGAGGATGTGTGCATAATGAGTAAAATTTGGTTGAGATTGCCATTGGTGTTTTGTCTTTTTTGCCATTGGAGTTAAAGGAATAGTTTCAGCTGTTAGCTTGTTTGAAGTGTTCTTGGTGGGAGATCTATTGATGTGGATTCCTTGGAAAGGTTACTCATTATAAGGTCCCTTGCATGAAGAGTTATTGGTGGTTAAGAAACATTTAATACATCGATGGTGGAAGGTTCTTGAAACTTTATTCATTTAATTTTTTGATACGTTGGAATAGGCAGTGGTGGACTGGTAGTTAAAGTCTTGTATGGGTGTTTCTTTGCATGTCACATCGTCTTATTGGGTCATTTAAAGCTGGCTTTTTGAATTTTTACAGAATCCAAGTGCCTAGTTATGATTCTTTAGATTCCTCTACTGTATTTAAGGAGCAAGTTTTCATCCTTATCATTCTTATTGATATGGCTAGAAGTTTCTGCATTGACAGCCTGTTTTAATCAAGAGATTTTCAACAAGAAGAATAATCCTTGGTCATATCGGTTTGTTTCTACTCGTTTGAAGGCCTTGTCTTTGTGTGTTCTATCCAACCTCTTTCTGGACAGTCTATTCATGATTTTTAGTCCCATTTGACGTGCATTTTGTTGTACTCTTTATTTTCTTATTACTCACTCCTCGTGGAGGTTGTAACTTTTGAGCATTAATCTCTTTTCATTTCATCCATGTAAAAAATAGTTTCTCGTAAAAAAAGAAAAAACCCCTCTTGCATTTAGTATGTTTCATTTTACTTAAATCGATACTTCGGTTGTTTTTTTTTTCCTTCCATGAAGTGTTTAATTCTTAGCCTTTTGCTTCGAGGATCTTTACGTCTTATTGATTAACTATTAGTGCATCACTTGCATTTGTTATATTTCACTTTACTTAAATAAATATTTTTTATTGTTTTCTTTTTCATAAAATTTGATCCTGTATTCATTCCTTTTGACCTTTATGTCTTATTAATTAATTAGTAGTGCATTACGATTCAATGCTTTGAATTTCTAAATCTTGCAGCTTTTTTGGAGTTGGAGAGGGTGATCAACATATTGAGCGTGGAGTAAACTGTTGTCCAGAACTTGTTTGGCCATTGGCTGGAGAAAACCAAATGGTTAGAGAAGTTCCTGGAGATATTTGGCAACTTTCTGGTGCTTCATTGCAAATGTCATCGAACATATCTAGTATAAAGTTGTTTAAGAAGCGCTTTCCTTTGGTCCATGATGATGTTTCTGATATCCAACATGCACTGTATCCTTTCATTTTCTAGATTTCTTTTCCACTATTCTTCTTCCCCCGGCCCCATTTGCAGGGGGGTTGGGTTGATAAATGCCTTTATTTTCTCTTTTAGTGCCTTAACTTGAGGAACCAGAATAAGTACATTGGGATCTGATTCATCTGGTGGATCGGTTTATGTTCTTAATCTTGTTGAACCGTTGGATTTTAATCGAAGCATTCCTGTCATTAGACGAAGGATACACGAGGTTGCTTCTTTCAATTGTTCCATCTGGACGGCTGATTGTGAATCCAGTGGAGGTAGAGCTGTGATCGGTATGTGTTTCTTTTGGTCCCTGTATTCTTATTATCATGCTGGATCTGGATCCTTAACAAATGCACCATATTCTAATATTTGAGAGCTTTTGTGCTTGCTCCCCATATATTTTTGACTATGAGGTTCAACAGATTGATTATATGACATTACTTCCATCGATATTTGTTTGTTCTGTTTGTATATGTTATAATCTTTAAAAAACACGTTTCTACGCTATGGAGGTGCATGGTTCTGGTCATTTATTTCTATTTGTGGTGTTTTGCTCCATTTGGTTTGGGCATTTGAACCAAAAATTGGCTTGAATTAGATTCTCTCCCCCCCCCCCCCCCCCCCCCCNAAAAAAAAAAAAAAAAAAAAAAAATCAACAGCAAACCCTGGTTTTCTCAAAAGATTTAAGGAAAAAAGTTTCTGATCTTCCGTCTTCCCAACATTCAGATGATTGCTCAGGTTGGGAGTCCAAAGTTCATTTCTCAAGCTGTAGAATCTAATAAGTGAAATTCGGTCCTGAAGAGATCCTTTTTATTCATGTTATTTAACATTCATCTGAGATTAAAGAATCTTCGTAGATTGCTCCTTATGGTGTTATTGACACGGATAATGGGTCTAAGATCAGTTTAAGTAGTGTACAACTTGATCTACAACCTTTTGGTAGTTTGGTGGATGATATTGTTGAGGATTCTTACGAAGCAACCTTGGATATGTTGTTTAGGATTTCTTCCAAGGAAGATTCTGTTTCCCATGAAGACTTAGTTTCAACTCAGAATATTTTTAGTGCTAGCTCTTCTCCTCTAACCATTTGGCTAGGGTTTATATGATTATATCTATCTTCTCAATTTTATAGGATTATTCTTACTGGTGACTTGCTCAAGTCAAAAGCTAAAATTATTTGGCTCAATGCAGTGAGGTGCATTCTCTGGGAAATGAATGTGGCTGGAGAGGTATAGAACTTCCGAAGATGTTGATAATAACATTTCAACTCTTTGGGAGAATATTGTTCGTCTCCTCTTCCTTGGTTACTTTTAGGTTCTTGGATTACCCCTGGGGAGTTTAGCAGATTGATCATTTTTTTAACCTTTCTTTAACTCTATTACACGAGCATTTTCTTTAACTGTGACCTCTCCTTGATTCATGCATATTCAAGTAACTTTTCTGTAGCTCCTTAGGTTTAGTAGGCTTTTGCTTAGTTTTATCCAATCCATCCTTGTTATTGCTTCTCCAAATGTGTGTATTGAACTGGGTGAGTATGTGTATGTATGAATTCACGTAGAATAATTAAGAAACATTTTTATCCCTAAGATGGAAGTTGGATATTCTATATGCCTGCATAGAAAAAGAGCTGATGTATACATTTGTTCTTTGAGGAAAGAAGGCTTTGGTGGGTAAAAACAATCTCCAAGTCATACACAAGCCTGGTTGCAGAATGTTTTAGAAAAGGCAGTGGCTTCGTTTGAAGTTCAGTGGATTTTAGCACGCCCAACCATTGTCATTGATATAAGGCTTTAAAAGAACAATGGAGGATGCGAATAAAACCTTATATTTCATCTCTCTTCTTGATTTCCAACTAAATTTTCTTTGTCCTAGTGTGTTTTTTAAACTGGAACTAGATCCTATTGCCAATATGGTGCTTATCGTTCTCAATTATAATCTTGAATTGCAGTACCATGAACTTGATTATTGATGAGCAGATACGGGAGAGGAATGTGTCACTGGATTCTCTCTCTTTCTCTAGCGTTCTAGTCTCTAGCCCATTCTTTGTTAAGTACTTATCATGCAACTCTTTTGGTTTCTGCAGGTACGAACATGGGAGCTGCTTCAGTTGATATGGAAACCAGCAGGATATCATGGATCTTACATGGTAAAAGCGACATTTTTGCGCTACAACTCATTCATTCGGTAATTCACTTTGTATGCCTGTCATTTGCATTTAAAATCCCAATAATTAGTTCTTTTGGGCCTTTGCATTCTATTCCTTTGCTTGTGTGATGTGGAACTGTATCTTATATTAATTTACTGGATAACCTGTTGCAGGAAAATGTTGTTCTGTGTGGACTTAGAAATGGCATGATTGTGACAATTGATACTCGTGAAAGACAGGGAGTATGTAAAAGACTTGTGAGGCATAGAATTCCTTACTTACCCGTAGATAGAGACTCCAGAACGTCTTCTCAGCAATGGTATAAGGTAAATAGCATTTATATGTTTTAGAAATTTGTGTTCTATTTTCAAATCTCAATACGCAATGTTTGTTTCCTGGTGAAATAAATAATAAAACTTATGAGGTTTTGTCTTAAGATATTGAAACTTTTAACCACTGTGGATTAGCTCAGTCTTGTAATCCAGATGTCTTTATAATCATCCGTTTAGTTGTGGGATATAGTTATGGTAACCACCTAAGATATCTAATATCTTATGGGCTACCATTGTCATGTTGTCCAATTAGATAGTTCGTCCTTGAGATTACTGGAGGTGTACCAAACATTATGCACACCCGGTAAAGGTAATACATATCGTCTTCTTAATTATACCCAAAGTCTTGGAGGAAGCTTCTCAAAAGTAAAAAACTTAGAATGATGAATGTTGTCGACTATGTGAACTCCTTTACAACTAAAACCATGGATAAGGTAGGAAAACTTTATTGAACAGGAATTTAGGTAATAGTTTGTGATTGTTGAAAAAATTTTCATGCTGAAAATCTATTTAATTCCGGTATGTAGTAGCAGTTTCTGTCTAGCGTGAATCTGAGTAGTAAAATTCTCTCAGTAATTTCAGTGAATTGTTCATGTTAGGTGGCTAACACCCCTGCCCCTCTGAACCCCCAAAGTTTACATTTCATTTATATCTATCAAGTTTGCACACATGATCTCTGCGAATTCCTTGGAGATCTGCTTTTTTGGGTCATAAAAACTATATATGATGTTTTGATTACTTTTCCATGCAGCTCACTGGGAACATTTATCCTTCTTGTACGGTTAAAATGCCTTCTTCCATATCGAGGTAGATCTCTATTTAAATTCATTTCCTTTGTACAAATTTAAAATTCTAACAGTTCTTTTTCCCCTTCCCCATTATCCACTAGCTTGGTGTCGCTTCAGTTTGATGACCGATATTTTCTGTCAAGCTCCATGGATGGATCGGTTAGTGTGCACTCTTCTTTAAATTGTATGTTGAAAGGTGGTAAATAAATACATGCCTGTGTAACTAATTACTGTGTCATTGAGTAGTTAGAACATCGATGAAGGTTTTATTTTGATAGAGCTCTTAGCTGCAATATGACAATGGTTATACTTGAGGAGTTAGGAAAATTGTAAAATATCAATGGGAGAGGTTTGGGTCTCTTCCCTTGATACGAGCCCACTTTCTACCTTCTCCTCCCATGGCTCACTCTGCATATTATTTTTATTTATTTATTTATTATTATTATTATTTTTTAACTAGATTTTTCATTGAGAACATGAAAGGAGACCAGTGCTCAAAGAATACTAAATTCTCAGGAGAGTGGAAAGCAAGAAAAACTGAAAATTACAAATAGAAATAAACGCATCTCAATTAAAAGAATATGAACAACCAAGAAATAAATGGTTAAGAAGATCCATTCCAAAAGAGAAATTTTATGAATAAAAATATTAAGCTTTGTCATCGAATTTACAAAACTGGAAGGTGTCTCAGCAAATGGAAGCAAAGCTACATAACTACTGTCATGGCCCACCACAAAACCTTCATAAAGACCCTTAGAATGTATATTTTACACAAGACCACTGAGAACCTCAACAAAAGGGGAGGGAAGTCTCAATCCCAATCTGAATCAGTAAGGAAGTTAACAAAAGACCTTTTAATTGGTACTAGATAAATAAAAAAAATTATGGAGTCCAAGAGAGAAAAGATTATTAAAATTTATTCTTCAAGGGTGTTCCGTGACTTTTTAGGAATTCCGCCATAAAACCGTGTCAAGATCTAGGGATCTGTTTGCACCTAGCTCGTGAATAGTGTGCCATATTTCATGTTTATTAAAAGGAACCTCTGGGGTTAGCATTTCGTTTTTTAGAAATGGGGTTCAAATGGATGGAGTGAGGGAGCAAGCCATATCCTTGTCATTTAGGAACTTGTCAACCGTCTTTGTGGCCATGATTTGACGGAAAGAGCTAGTGTTCTCAGCCTCTTCATCCAACCATTTTTTTTTATAAAGTTTCTCCTTTGAAAGTTAAGTGGATAGAAGTTGCTCTCCCTTAAAGCCTCTTTGTTCCATGTTTTAATTAGTATCTTCAACCCTCTTAGTTTCTGTTAAAAACTATGGCTCTGCCAGCCTTGAATTGGATTGGTTGCCTCCAATCATCCACAACAGTACCGAAAGTGTGATGCTGCAGCCACATATTTTCAGTTTCCAATCTTGCAAGTCCTCTTCCCATACTTAACAAATTACTCCTTATGTCTTCTCTTCACGCAAAGTTTCCCTCAGTTGGCATAACCTCCCTACTCATCGGCGTATCTATCCTCCTGGCATTGATAAAATGCATCGGGGGCTTGTTTTTCCTGACACATTTCTGGGTTGTTCTCATTTACTCATTTTAAATTCTTTGCCTGCCGGATTCATGTTTGTACAGGTAAGACTTTATGATCATCGCCTTATCCAGAGAGGTGCTGTACAAACCTATGATGGGCACGCAAATTCACATACTCGTATACAGCTTGGAGTTGATCCCACTGAGACGTTTGTTGCATCTGGTACTATCATTTTAGTGCAGGCTCAATATTTTTATATTTAGAAATCTCGTGGGTACAGTTAAAACTAGAGTTTCCACTAAACATATTCCGGTTTTAGGTGGAGAAGACTGCAACTTTCGTCTATGGAATATCAAGTCTGGTAAACTTATCTTTGAGGATAAGTTTGTTGATGCTGTCCCCTCAACCATATGCTGGCGAAGGGCTGGAAGTAATGCTCGCTCTCTATTGTTTCTTTCTTTCTTTATACGCTTCTTCTACTATATTGTTTTCTATTGAACTTCTTCCAGGAGTTCCGAGAGAGCAGAATGGATACCTAGGCTGTGGAGATCATAGTTCGGGAGCATGGCTTGGATCACAAGGAGGACTTCATTATGTGAGCTTTCCAAGGTCATAAGTGAACTTGCACGAGGATTTCTGGCCAGCTTTTCAAAATCATCATAATTTCACCTTCAACCAAGTTTTTCTTTTACTTATATATGCTTCACTCAGGAATGAAAGTTACTCAGCGGATAGGTCATCAGCAGCTTTTTTATTATTGTTTTTATTTCTTATTGCAAGGCCATCAGCAATTCAGTTGTTAATTTACCTTTTCTTCCAAGGCATTGTAAATTTTTTGGCAGAATCATGTTGGGATTCATAGGTTGTAAATGGATACATACATATCAAATTACATTTTTGCATTGTAATATTCAATTCAGGAAGCTAGTACACTCAAATTGACCGGGGAATATCTAATCTCCCTGATCTTTTCTTTTCTAATCTCACTTGTAATTTCTTAATTCATTTAAAAATGTCACTCTTTCCTCTCTTAAAATTACTATAACCTAATACTTAACACTTACAATGTACTTGTGATGTAACACGAAATTAATGAGCCTTTGGGCCAACATATTCCAATTGGTCTGATCCTTCGAAAGTAATAGAACATTGGCCAAACCGTCAACCACACACGTCATGACACGGGAAGGCACACAAAAAGATTATATAGGTCGCAGAAAAAAAAAAAATGGAGACGGTGTGTGTTAGTTATAAAAACCTACTTTCAAATCTACTTGCCAAATTAAAGTTTAATATTCCTATTCTATTTTATATGATACTTTAGCATTCAATATCATTCAATATCATTCAATAGACTTAATTTAAGCTTTGCTAATGCCCGTTAAAAATTTGAATGTGTGTTGATTAAAAAATTTAAAAATTGAAAATTGAATATTGTGAAGGAAGTTTGTGAAGACATCCTTTCAATTATTTAAGTGATTTTGAAAAGTTTCTAATTTAATCTCTAAAATTTGAAGTATTTAAAAAAAAAAAAATTGGAAGTTAGAGTTGGGATAAAAATTATAAATGAAAGAAGCATATAAATTTGATGATAAAAGGGTAAGTTAAAAATGAAAGTTTGAGAAGTTTGAGTCATAATTGAAATAAATTATATAATTAATAGGTATTTTTGATAATTTAAGGAGAAAAGTAATAATAAATGATAATAAATAAATAAATAAATAAATAAACGCCTTCCCTGACCTCCCGCCATGGACCCCAAGGTCTGGTTTCGGATTTCAATCTTAGTTATATTTGGACCGCACGCGCTCAACGGCTGAAAACCAACGTCTCCGTTTTGGTACATAATGTTCAGAAAATGCAGGGCGAAGACATATTTAGGTCCACATTATTTGTTGTGGATGCTTAATTTAGGGTAGGTTGAGCGTGTGCCAGAGATTTCCATCTTACAAGCCTCAAAATGGCGTCCTCTCTTTTCGGTGCCATTCCCCTCATATCTTCCTTTCCCCACTTCCCCCCTTTCTGGATTGGTTTCTCATAATTCCGTCCCAACCAAAATGTCTTATTCCCTTTCCTTTAACGCCTTCCTTGTTCTTCATTCCATGGGGTTTTGATCCAACCAGCTCCCTCAAACATTGCTCATCCTCCGTCCCTCCCTTCCACTGGGTGACCCATTCTTCATGGCTTCTTCGGAGGTCGAAATTTCTTCCTCCGCCTCACCCTTTGGCTGCGTTCTCAGAGACCATAACCGGCGGCGAGAACCCAATGTCACCGCCACCCATGTTGCTCGTTTTCGCAACAACCTCAAGACTTTGGTCATGGATCGCCTCAACGATTGCATCACAATCACCCCAAATCGAAATCAAAACCACAATCCCAACCCCGTCATTCCTAATTTTCGAGGCCCCAGAACCAACCATGATTCCGCTCCCAGGCGCTCCAATCCATGTCAAACTTTGTCTACCATTATTAATCACCCACAAAACAACAACAATAATAACAACCCACAAATACGAACCACCCCTACTCCTGAAACGGGTACGGACAAGAACCATTCATCAAAGCTAGCATCTTCTCTCGTGCAGATATGGGAGAAGAGGCTAAATGTTTCCTCCTCTAACGTCGGTTTGAATGCGAATGCGAATGCGAACGCGACCCCTTCGGTTTGTTCGGTCAAGCAAGAGACGGAGCAGGAGCAGGAGCAGGCATGCTCGTTGGAAGCAGGGGATTTTAGCGACGAGAGGTACGATGCAGGGCTCGGGAGCGAAGACGGGTTTGCAGATTGGCATTCGAGCAGAACAAGTTCCAGTTCTCCACCCTCTTCCACGCAAAGCCAGATTTCAGATGCGAGAGAAAGGGAGAGGGTGCGCGTCGTGGATATCATTAGGAGATTGACATTGACGGCTGCAAAGCCTCCGCATTCATCTTGGGTCGAAGACAACGACCACTCCAGTGAATCCTCCTCAAATCCCACTCTGATTCTGAGATACCAAGTAGAGCCCAAATGCCTTTCTCATATTTTATACTCTCCCCGCATCAGAGGACGTCAGGCCTTTGCCGATTTACTCTTGCAAATCGAGCGGGACAGGCAAAGAGAGCTCGAGGCATTGGTAGAGCGTCGAGCCGTTTCAAAATTCCCCCAACGTGGCCGCATCCAGGTCCGTTTTCTCTCCATTCTTTTTCTTTTTACGATATTAAAATCTCTTCTCCATTTTTAATCACTTTCTTATCTAATCTAATCTAATCTCTATGGACTGAATCAGTACTGTTCTACCTTACATCTTATTAAATTATCTAATCTTATAAGAATGGAAAAAAGAAAAAAGAAAAAAGAAAAAAAAGAAAAAAAAGAAAGAAAGATGGATGCTTGTAAAATTTGACTATTGTTGAGAATGCGGGTTGTGAGATGCTGCAGTCGCTACTTCGGCTTAAGATTTTGCAACGTGGAATGGCATTGGAAGATGAGCAGAAGCGCCCAAAATTTGTAATAACTCCTCGAGCGAATCATAGAGCTTATACCATCAGCCATCTCAGGTATAATGAATTGTAATTCAATACATACGTTAGGATTTTGGCTTTATGTGGCATGCATCTTGCAGGGAGAGATTTAGTGGAGCTGGTGAGAATGGCGCAAGAAGCCCTATTGGAGAGATGCTGGACAATAATGATGATGATAAAAACCAGTTGGATACTGATGCTCATACTCATGCCACCAACGCAAATGATAATGACAATGATAATGATAATGATAAGGATAGCAATAACCAGCAAGTGGTTGGCATTAATCCAATTCCTGAAGATTTCAATGAAGAGGAAATTGAAGAACAAGAACCAGTACAAGAACCAGTACCAGAACCAGAAGTTGATCCTCCAAGTTCAGAGGGCAGATGGCAAGATAGGCCTAATTTGAATTTGGATTCACAAGACTCTATCAATGGATGGGAAGCAGAAGATCACAGTGAGGCAGCAGAAGAGAGTTATGATGAAAACTACTTGGGAACCAGTTACGATTGGTTTGCTGATATTTCTCGGCCTCGAAGTTATTGGGAAGACCGCAGGAAATCTTGGTATCAGCAAATGCTCGACTCCAATTCTGCCAACGAAGAAATACGTCAACTTATTGAAAGGTGTACCATTCCATTCCTTTACTCATTTGATGCATCATCTACCTATGTGTTGAGTTGAAATTAAGATGGTATTGAATTGTGGATGGATGCAGGAAAACAGTATCGAATTTTCTATCGAGTGAGTTTCGTGAAAGAATGGACAAGTTGATGGTGTCTCGATTAGAGCGACAAACGCAGCAAGAAGAAGAATATGACGATGGAGCGGAAGAAGAAGAAGAAGAAGAAGAAGAAGAAGAAGAAGAATTGTGGTGTTTCTCAGAAGGACACACTCAGCCAGAGAGTAGTGATAACGAAGAAGAAGAAGAAGAAGAAGATCGTGATGAAAGAAGCTTGATTAGCAGCGCTCCATATCAAGAAGCAAGCGATGATTTGGATCAATCTGCATCTCCTTTGCAATTTCCATCCCCGTCAATATTGAGCTCATGGAGCTACCAGCTGGATAACGAGATGGGTGAAGATTCGAACAGAGGCGCATCTACTTCCTCACCCCAACCTTTCCAACCTCAATTTTCCTCCAATACCCAACGCTCTTCCCCCGTCTCAACAACCCATCATCCATCCATTGTAAGAAGCTAGAGCGGTGTTCTTGAATGTGTGTATATATATTATATGCATAAAATGACGTTACTTACTGTGACAATTGTAAAATTCAGGAAATGGAACTGATATACGATTTAAGAGGGCACATGGAGCAATTGTACCAGGAGATGTCGGAACTGAGAAAATCCATAAAATGTTGCATGGACATGCAGCTCATGTTGCAGCACTCGATCAAGCGGCATGAAGTTGGAGGAGGAGGGAGGAAATCCAAGAAAGAGAAATCAAGAAAGCGCAAATGTTGTATTTGCTACGACATGCAGATTGACTCACTACTGTATAGGTAACTATATCTATCTATCTATATATGTATCTTAAAGTGAAAGGAGTGTGAATAATGATGATATCATATACTACATATTGTATTGGTGCAGATGTGGACACATGTGTAGCTGTATGAAATGTGCTAAGGAATTGCAATGGAGAGGGGGAAAGTGTCCAGTTTGCGGAGCTCCGATTGAGGACGTCGTGCGGGCCTCTTTTATGCCACATTCATAGGAAGGAATAACAACGTCCGATGCACGAGTTCTTGCTTCAGAGGACCGTCTTCATTCTTCTTCCTCCAACCCTACAATAACCACCTTCTTGTACCTCTTATCATCTCTTTGGGCCTTCTTTTACCTTTCTTTTTCAACTTCTCAACTTTGAACTGCTGCATCATGTTTATCCAAACTGCACATAACATCTTAACTACACGTTTCACTGTAAATGATTTCTACTTTGTAACCACCCCTTTTATGTTCTCTTTTTCTACATATATACATATGTTTTTTGAAAGAGAATTCTTGTAATACCGCATCATTTCAGTGAGTTTCTTTACTCCCATCCCCTCTTCTCTTATGGACACCACATCATTTAATAAATATTTTGGTTTTTCAAAATCAAGCTTAGAACTTCTACTTCTATATTTAATATTCATATTTACATCAATATGTCATACTACCTCAATACACCATTACCTGAATCTTAATATATGTGTATATATGGTATATTTTATATATTAATAAAAGTAAATATTATTTTTATTTAATATCATTTTTTTAATTCTTAAAAACTAAAATACTAAATGAAACTTTATAATAGCAGCAGAAAAAAAAAAAATCAATAATTAGACTATTAACTAATACAAGGAATCAACTCAACAATGTCAAACTTAATTTCATTCCATTGTTATTGAAAATGTCATTTAACAATGATTTAATGATTTAATTTTGGTTTTAAAAAATTAAACTTGCATTTAATAGGTATAGTTTAATATTAGAAGAGCATTTGGATAATACAACGTTTCATAAAAAGGAATGGTTGTATTCACATTTGAAGGGGATTCTATTTTATGTCAAAAGAAGAGGGGTGTAAATTTTTATTACAAAAGAAGAGGGGTAGAAAACGCACCGACGACGCGAATCAATCCAAGGGAGGCATGCAGTGGGAAAATGAGAGAGAGGTTCCTCCCGTTACAGGTTTACAGCACAGGATTGGGTGTGGGGGCGGGGCCCAACCCCCATCACCCCGCCACCGAATCATTCTATTCCCATGTTTGCACTTCACGCCCTCCTTCTACCATCATATTTTCTTGTAGGTCCTCCTTTACCTTTCCTACTCCTCTTTTTACTACTACTACTATTATTTATTATTCATATATTGTCTCATTACTTTACTGCACTCTGTGTGCAGCTCTACTCTGGAAGATGAACGTGATTAATGGGATTGGGCGGGATTAAGGTGGAGGTTAATGAAGGGTAGTAATAATGAGGTTGTGCGCTCTAATCTCGGCACTGAATTCCATTTCCTCCATTATGGCTTTTGCCTTTACCTTTACCTTTACCTTTGCCTTTGCCTTTGCCTTTGCCTTTGCCTTTGCCTTTTCCAATAACCCAACAATTCCAAGTCCAAGGTCCAACTCCTATTTGTATTTTACCTTTTTCCTTTTCTACATTCTCTCTCCTTTTGCTTTCCTTTTACAGTTCACATATTCAATAATATCGCATCTAACCTTTCTCCACTCTCCCTCCTTCCTTTCACTCTTTGCTTCCCTAAATCCCAACTGGATTGTGGTGTGGATTCGCATCCTCTCTCCGCTCCGCTCTGCTCTGCTCTGCCCCTTCCATCAGAGCAGATTCCCTTCTTTCCCTCTCTCTCCTACCATGGCGAAAGACCGAGAAAGGAGGATGTATGTCGGAGTTATTTTTAACTATGCTGCAGAGCTCAAGCTTTTTCTTTCCGCTCTCCTCCTCCTCTGTGCTCTCGCTACTATCCTCCAGTTCCTTCCGTCTCGTTTCACCCTCTCCATCTCCGATCTCCGCTCCTGCTCCACCACCCAAGATTCCCCTTCTTCTTCTTCTTCTTCTTCTCTATCGGCAACACTCCATTCTTCCATACCCCTTCCCAGCCCCCACCCCTCCACCTCCCTCCCCACAGATCAGCTTCTTCCCAATGGCATTCTCAGGCGCGTTTTTCGTCCTTACGGTGCCGCCGCGTATAACTTCATCACCATGGGTGCTTACAGAGGCGGAGTCGACAACTTCGCCGTCGTCGGTTTAGCCTCCAAGCCTCTTCACGTATTTGGACATCCCACATACCAATGCCAGTGGATTCCTCTCCTCCACCCCTCCAATCCCATCAACGCCTCCGCCTTCAAGATCCTTCCCGATTGGGGCTATGGTCGTGTTTACACTGTCGTCGTCGTCAATTGTACTTTCTCTCACCCTGTTAATGCTGACAACCAGGGTGGAAAATTGCTCCTCTATGCCTCCACTTCCGGCGGCGGCGACCGCAACTTCAACCTCACCGACACCATTGAGGTGTTGACAGAAAGTCCCGGAGGAATGAACGCTTCCCTTTTCACATCCAGCCCTAAATACGACTATCTCTACTGTGGCTCGTCTCTGTATGGGAACTTGAGCCCCCAGAGGGTGAGAGAGTGGCTGGCCTACCATATCAGGCTGTTCGGGATCAGATCCCACTTCGTAATACACGATGCAGGTGGGGTTCACGAGGAAGTGCTCCAGGTTTTGAAGCCATGGATGGAATTGGGTTATGTGACGTTGCAGGACATCAGGGAGGAGGAGAGGTTCGATGGATACTACCACAACCAATTCATGGTGGTGAATGATTGTTTGCATCGCTACAAGTTTATGGCCAAGTGGATGTTCTTCTTCGACATTGACGAGTTCATCTACGTGCCGCCCAAAAGCACCATAAAATCAGTTCTAGATTCGCTTTCAGACTACGCCCAGTTTACAATTGAGCAGATGCCCATGAACAGCAAGACGTGTCTCACGGAAGATGCAGGGAGAACCTACAGGTACGAATTATTATACGATGCTGTATTGTGAATTCTGTGCATAGACGCAAAAAGAGTGCGTGAATTAGGGGGATGATAGTTTTTTGATGCTGATATTAGTTTAGTTTGGGGAAATTGCGTTGATTGCATATGGAGAATGGTAACATGCTTAGATAACAATAGTATTGAATTAAGTTGGCATTGTAGAATATGTATGAAGATAATGAATGAATGGATGGATGGTTGGCTTGGTTGCAGGAAATGGGGGTTTGAAAAGCTTGTATACAAGGACGTGAAAAGGGGAATAAGGAGGGACCGAAAGTACGCAGTACAGCCGCGGAGGGTGTTTGCGACGGGGGTGCACATGTCGGAGAATGTAGCTGGGAAGACCACACACAAGACGGAGGGCAAAATCAAATACTTCCACTACCATGGCACCATTGCCCACCGAAGGGAGCCCTGCCGCTCCCTTTCCAATCTAACCCAACTCACTCTCGACGACACCCCCTTTCTTCTGGATACCACCATGCGTCTCGTCGCTCCTGCCGTCAAGAGGTTCGAGCTCAAAATGATCGGTTCCAGGTTACAGGCCACGCGCCAGTGATCAACCACAACCATTCATTCTCATTTCTCCTAATTTCCGCTCTGCTTCCTTTCTCTTCGTCTGTGATCAACCGGTTCCAGGTTCCAGGTTGCAGGTTGGAGCTCGAAATGATCGGTTCCAGGTTACAGCTCACTCCGACTGTATATTATATATAAATTCATATATAATTTGGGGGCACCAGTAGAAGAGGGGGGATTGGGTTTATTCTTATTTGTTACCCACTTGTTGTAATTATTTTTCTACACTTTTTTTGTGCTTATATTACATTTTTACATCACAAATAAAACACAGTTTATTATTATTATATATAACAGGCTGATGTGGAGGTGGTCGTGTCGGCAAGGAAATTTTGGGCATAGAATTCAATTATTTTTAGATGGGCTTTGTTTAATTATGGATTTAATTTTAGTTATAGAAAGTAGGGAAAGTTGTGGGTTCCGAATAATTACATTGTTTCTGCAACAACTAGAATGGGTTAATAAATAATAATAATTGAGCAAACAAAGGCAGCGTTTTGGTATGCTATGTCACTTTCACAAGCAAAAATGGGTGTACCTCACTTACTCACACTCGCATGTGATCTGGAATATTCCTTTTTTCTTTTTTAAAAAATAATAATAATAATTTATGAATGTCTTTTCTACTTGATTTGTAATCGGGTCCGAGTTCAAGGAATCCCAGGTTAAGCTTTCTTTTCTGGTTTCTTATAATCATTCTTTCTATTTCCCACCTAAATTCCCATTTCAAGTATTTAATACGTGTTTCAATTAAATGTTTTATTTAATATCTTGAATTTGTATGAAAATGTTATTTAGTGATTTAACATCAGCAAAAGAGAATATCAAGAACAACAATAATAAAACATTACTGCGTGGACTGGAAGAGTAAGACAATTGAATTATTGGTGTAGCGTCCTTTTGTGTAACAAACTTTGATTTGAACATTTGAAAAAGAAATGAAACTGAATAGTGTGTGCGATGAAAAAATCAATGGGCCTCCAAAAGAGCATTGAACTCTTCTCTGGCTCTGCGCAAGCGTGGGGTAATGACGCAGGGAGATGCAGCTCCCGATTCCTCCGCCAATTTTGCTTTGGTCCACACAGGAAGATGATGAACTCCCACCCCATCTCTATCGAATACAAACGCGGCCTGTGCTGGTGATTGTGTTCGTGCACCCACGCTGTTCCTTATCAATTCCATTGGCAGGTCAAAATAAAGGCTCCCCATCCCTGTCATCGATTCCCCATCTTCATGAGCCACCATGCCCGACGAAGCCCACGAGCCACATTCGAATTTTTCCAAAGAAACTCGACTGTGACTTATGGAAATGGATATACACCCACCTCCCTCCTCACCTTCCTCTACCTCTTCCTTTCTCTCTTCCTTCCCTTTCCCAACCTTAAACCCCAACCCTCCCAGCAGTGGTAGCAACAAGCACAGTGCCCCACATCTGAAACGCCTCGCTTTCCCCTCCTCTGTTTTGTGCTTATGCCCTTTCTCCCATATCATTACTCTATTATCAATAAGACCATGCGGCAGTGCCTTACCCCTTCCTTCACCACAGGATTTGCTCCGATTCAGCCCCCGCCCCCCATCATGGACTTTCTTTTTTGCTGCCGCACCACTGCCCAACGGAGGGGATGAATAAGCCGAGTTGGGGGCACTGTAGCTTTCCAACTTGAATTGCGTTGACACCTTAATAACCACATCCTCAACGAGTTCGTAGCTTCTGCCAGTGGTGCCAACAGATAAAGGTTCTAATTTATCAGCAATGGCAGGCATACTGCAGTTTGATTGAAACTGTTGTCTTCGAATGGAATGGAAGGCCTTTAAACTTCAACCAACAACAAGACAACACATGGACGTGGTGGGCAGTCTGTTTAGTAATGATTTGCATGTTCTTCGCGTTCCTTATTCTAATTCCCACCACCGTTGACTTGGATATAACATGCAAGCAGCAAGGAAATATGACGGTTTTTGTTTTAATATTTAACGGTTGAGGTATTAAAAAAAAATGCATCGAAGCATTTCGTGGAAAGTATGAGGACTTATACCACTCACTCTGCCCACTATGCAATGCAACAAATGAGGTATTAGTCGCACTCTTTGTCAGGTAATTTTATTCCGTAATCAAGCGCCATAACGGCAAATGAAAATTGAAAGACGTGGTTCAGCATTTAATAATTTCCATCTTATAAATTCATCAATAACTCATTCTGGCCCTTGGAATTGAATGCATAACAAACTCTCGTAGTCGCGAAGGGTCAGAAACAACCACCACAGTCGGCAATCATCAGCCACGTCTATTGCCACATAGTAGAAGCACTATTGAAGAGAATTGTAGAACAGGATTAGAACTACTGAGATGCCAATTATCACTGGAAACGCTGTCACTATGTACAGTGCTCCATATCCCTGCATCAAATCAATTTTAGATTCCTCATCAGCAATGGTGTAATATCATGCAAAATTTTATTTTCACGATTTTGACTCTCAGTTACCATTAACAAAATTCCAGTACACTCCTAACCACATTGAAGTGACAAATCCATAATATCTGGAGTGAATTATCATAATAAATAAGTTGGACTAAAAGTAGTGTCTCTGATGATGGGCAAAGAAAACAAACCACGGCTGCAGGCACTTCTGGGTCCTCACTCAAGTCGGCATCTTCAAGCTCAGCTGCAGTATCCCAATCAATGTTGAGTCTCTTTGCAGCCTCTCGAGGATTCACGCCCGTGTCTGTGACATTTGCATATAAAGATTTACTGCGTTTCTTCTTAGGTGCCTCAACCTACACGTACGAGTAACATAATCGACGAGGATAGAAGAAAAATGTCAAGAAAATCTAAAGTGGAGACAAAACCATGCTGACCGGCCCTTATCAGATGATAATGTAAACAGCAGAAATAAAAATCCCCACGACTTGTTTGAACCAGAAATTTGTTTCCATATTTGGGGTGTGGACAAGAAGACACCATTTCTCATAATTACATTAGACAATAGTTAATACTTTGCTTAAGTTGTTATTCAATCCATGGGGTTAATGAAGCTCATGCATTCATGGCTAAGTATGTATGCACAATCATAAATATAAGACAAAAATAATCACTACTTCAATAGGGGTCGAACTCAATAATGATAAGTATGTATATTTATTTTAGGAAAATGATTTAGATATAGGAATAATTATTCTAGCCTCTACTCTAAATACTCCACCATACAAAGTTTTCATCCCAAGCAGTCCCAAGAAATCCAAAGAAGAGTGTTTACCAAAAAGAATTTGTTCAACAATCTGGTATCAAAGTGAGTGTTGGTTGTCTAGTGTCTTGGAATTCTTAGTATGCTCTTTATTTAATCTTCCCATCAAAAACGATTTCTTGAGATTCTTAGTGAGTGAGTTTCTTTGTGTCGTGAGTAGTTCATAAGTATGCAAGTTTATTGTCAAAAGAACTTATTTGATATTATTGAGGTATAGCCAACGTGGGGTGATTCAAATCGTTGGAGGAATCGAGAAACTTAACAACAACTACGCTGCAAGAGGATGATTTTAATTGTGCCTTGCGCAAATGGAGAATCAAAGCAGACAGAGTAATGTTTGCCTTGAAAACCACTATCGGAGAAGAGATGTTAGAACACATTTTGGATGACAAGACAACGAAAGAAGTATAGGACATGTTCATGATATTTTTCTCAAAGAAGAGCGATACGAGACTACAACTTCTGGAGAACGAGCTGTTATCAATTTTACAACGTGACTTGACGATTTCTCAGTACTTCCACAGGTCAAGTCGATCTGTTAGTAGATTACTTAACTAGACCTAAAGTCCGTCATTGGAGAAGCTTGAATGAAGAAGATCATTATCCACAGATTTCGACTAGAATTGTTATTTCTGTACAAAGATGGTTTGCTCAACCATCACTACTAGCGTTTAAAAATTTGCTAGCCAGCCAAGAAGGTATGACTAAACAAATGGGAGACATCACATAAGGGGAAGAATAAGTACTCTACACAAATGAAAATCGGGGTAACAATAAACCGTCTACCAAACATGGATAAAAAAATGGTGACAAAGAAAGAAGCCATCAAGAAACGACATAACCAGGGAGAGCTCAGAAGAACGACAACAAGAGCTTTCAAGGGAAGAGATTTGAAGGCATTTGTTACCATTGGAGGGAGAAGGGTCACATGTCTAGGGATTATTGGTCCAAGAAAAAGTCGAAAGCAACATGGCATCCTCCAACATGGAGATGGAGGAGGAATGGAATACATAGACAATATGTGTCATAGAAGAAAATGAGCTAGCACTCATGGCAATGATGAGAGAACATGTCGATTACAAGGATGGCTGGATCATTGATTCAGGATGCTCAAGTCACATGACTGACGATCAAAGTGATGCAATGGAAGCAGGGTGGCTCTCGGAGAAGGAAATATTATCAGACTTGGACAACATTGAAGAAATTCTACCACAGAAAATGAGGGAACAAATTGCACACATTTGCTTAAGGGTTGATGTGCCTGAAGATCCAAGTGACACTAACGTTGGTGAGCAAGAAGTGACTCAATCAAGTGAACTCGATGAAAAATAAATGACACATCAACAACTTAGACGGTAAAAACCCAAAAGCTAAATCCAAAGTATGTCAATACTTCTATTATAGGACAAAATTAAAAAGCTAGAGACGTACGAAGAAGCATCATAAAATATGGCTTGGCAGCAGACAATGAAGTAAGAAATTATAGCCTTTACCAAAATCAAACTTGGGAACTAATGCCAAGACGAGGAGATATCAAACTCATCTCTTACAAGTGGGTTTACAAAACAAAGTGTCTCTCAGATGGATCAATCGAGAGATACAAGACTCAACATGTAGCTCGAGAGTTCTCTCAACGATATGGATTAGACTATGATGAGACATTTAGTTCAGTGACAAAAATCCCTATCGTACAGCTTCCTCCCACACTTATGGTAAATAAAGATTGAAAATTATGGGAGATTAATATGAAGAATGTTTTCTTACCTGGAGAGTTGGACTGGGAGATCTACATGAACCAACCAAATGGATTTGAAAATGAAGTTGGAGTCATTAGTCAGTATATGCAAAGTCCAAAGAAGTGTCATTTGGATGTGGCTCGACGGATCTCGAGATATGTCAAAGGTACAATCAATTATGATCTTCTGTACAAAAGAAGCAAAGACTGCAAGCTAGCTAGATACTGTGATGCTAACTATGCAGGATATCACGATACTCAAAGATCAAGCACCGGGTATGTGTTCAAGCTCAATTTGAGAACAATTTCTT